GCAGTGATTGATCTTTGGGAACAATGGTGGTCAGTAATTTTTTTTTTTTTTTTTTTTTTGGAACAGTGGTAATCAGTGCATTGGTGGTATAGTGGTGAGCATAGCTGCCTTCCAAGCAGTTGACCTGGGTTCGATTCCCGGCCAATGCAGCAAGAAACAGCTTGTTTTTCACTCTACCCTTTCCAATTCCGAGTGTTGCCTATTTAAATGAATGTACCAAACGTATGTTCAATCACCGGATTGTGCCATAGAGTAATTTGCATATTCCCTGAATAGTTGTGATCATTTGCATAAAAGTGTTACGTGAAGTGGAAAGAGTTTATGAAGACATACAATTACAATAGAAATTATTTCTTTTAGAAAGATGAAGAACAAGGAAGTGTGTGGGTGGAACAAACAATGGTGATCATTGGTAACAATAGTGATCAGTGATTGGTCATTGGGAACGAAGGTGATCATTGGTCATTGGGAACATCAGCTTGCACAAGAGAAATTCAATCAGGCTTTACACACTGGTGGTGAACCTTCTCTCTCAACTCGGTGAACCAGCAGCTCCGGTGTGAGCTGGAGAGCCGTATCACGTGCAGGACAGTCACTCACATTTTGACAGCCGCTATCTGATTACAAACTGAATTGATTAGACTATGACTTCACTATGATGTGTAACTATCCAAAAACCTGATCAAATCATGAGAAAATCATTCTTAGCTAGCAAGGTTTCAGACATCTTTAGGCAGGTTGCCTTCATTTACTGCTGTGTTTGTTAAACTGGCTGCTTAAACAACATGATTGCAGCAGGCAGACACCAAAGGCAAGGTTAGAAAGTAAGTAGGTTAGAAAAAACACATCAGCAGCTGTAATGCTAGCTATCATTTGGCTTGACATGTCAGTGAGGTGGCATAAATCCTTTGACAAAGATCCTTCTGTTAGCATTTGTTACTCATGCAGGCTTCCTGTTTCCTTCATCCTGAGGCATCCTGATTGGTGTCCAGCTCCAGACGTGATATACTTCGATTCAATCAACTCTTTGTTTTGTGAAAGTCTCAATTTCTTACTTAATTTTAGCCCTCTGTGCCTGTTTGGCTGTTAGCACCAACTTTTACAGAAAACATGTTGCTAACTCGAGTCATATGTTTGTTGTATTGCTTCACTTCTTCTTGGTTCTTCTTACTTTTTCTGCTTTTAAAACTTAAGGTCTTGGTTTTTGTGGAGCAAATTCATTTTAACTGCTGATTTATGTTCCTATGTGCTCACTTGTCTGTTAAGTAGAGAAATAGTTCAGTGAGGTTTATAGAACGTATCAGGATGATGTGAGACTGGATCTCTCCTGCTTTAAGCTTCTCCACACATGCGTTGGTGGTATAGTGGTGAGCATAGCTGCCTTCCAAGCAGTTGACCCGGGTTCGATTCCCGGCCAACGCAGCACCTTTTCCACGTCAACTCCTTTAATTAGAACCACATTTTCTTGGGTTTTATGGCTTCTTGAATTGAACTGTTGAATAGTTGATTTAACGGTGATCTAAGGCTTTTCATGTGTTTTAAAAGCTTATATCCAGCAAATGTGAAAAATGCTTCAGTGTTCTGTAATCAGGAATGTAGATCGTACCACGGAAACCACGGGAGCACAGTCAGTTTCTTCCAGTGTAGAGTTCAACACGGACGAGGAGGCCCTGGACCTGACTAAACCTTCAGTTACACTGAACTCACACCTCCGGTTAATATGCTAAGCGAGGAATAAAACACTTGGGTGCATGCTGCTATAGGAAAATAATCAAAGGGATGATGTCATGCAGTCTGACACAAAGCAGAATTACTGTTACTAAAACCTTCTGGCCAATCAGAATCAAGAATTCAACAGTGTTGTGGTATAATGAATGTTGATATCCACACACAAACACAAAAATAAAACAGACACACAAACACACACCCTGTGTAACTCAGCACTGGTTTAATATCGACTGTTTGTACATGAGGAATGTATATACACTCTCGTACAGAGCTTTGTACAAAACACACAGAGCTTAATAAATATTTAACACAAACACTACGGGACATAATGATATGGCTAATCTCTCACTCTCTCTTTCACACACACTCACACACACCTCTGTTTAATGAGAATTGTGTTAATCGGGCTGTTTAAATACAGTGTTCAGTGACTGCATTGATCGCAGCTGGAGCTGATTTATAATTTATGTTTAATTTCATCACAGATCTTTTGTAACCAAGTTCTGTGTTCGATGGAAAAGTACTTTCTCTGCCACTCGTGTTGTAATACTGACTGTTGCTGATGTGTTGTTGAGAGTCACACTGTAAACTCCAGCTAATGTGTGTTCAGCAGTGTGTGTTTAGGGAAAAAAAAAATCCACATAAGAAGCCAGTTCTTGCGGTGAATTTCTGACAGATTTGAGTTCACGAGTCGTGACACAACGTTCATGTTTCTCAAAATGGGGCTTAGTTAGCGTCCGAGAGTAATTACAGACTTCAACATCCTGCACAGCAAGACGTACCGCAGCACAGTTTGCCTGTCGAAAGCACAAACTCATGACTTCTATTTTAACTAAGCGACGCTCCTGCCAACTTAAAACAAACACTTCATCAAACCCCAGTGTTAACCCTTATATCCTGATGCGAACACAAACCCCAACTCTGATATGAGATTTTTAATTTTTCTTTTACTGAGTAGTGTAGATCAAGCACACACACACACACTCACTCTCTTTTACACACACACACACACACACACACACACACATACACACACACACAGGTAGATTGTGGTTGTATCTGTTGGACCAGGATATTTATCACTTGATCATCACTTGACTGATTGTCATGACGCAGTGTGGTTAGTTCAGGTAATAAAGCTATTAAAATTCAAACAGCACAGTTTCCTGAAAAATATTTTCTTTTTTTTTGCTAATGGCTAATTATAACAGCACAGTTTTTCATTTCACTTTCATACGTCTGTAGCCCTTTGATTACTGGTGGCTCTTATTTATCCTTCCTCATTCTAATCTACACACACACACACACACACACACACACACACACACAGGCTGGCAGTAGAGGTTTCTCCTCAACGCTGATGTCACAAATGTGAAATGAAGGCACTGTGCTGAGCTGTGATCTGAGTGACATCACTGCACTGGTCCCTCTGAGCTGATTGGCTGTGCTGAGACTGGTCCCGCCCCTCTGAGTGTGTGATTGGCTTGGAGAGTCTAAGCCTCACTGGCCGTGCTGCTGCGATTCAGATCTCTGATTCCCTGCAGGATCCGCTTCATGTGACCAACCTTCGTTACACCCAGGTCCTGAGATAGACAAAGGACACACAGTGAAAATACTGAACTCAGCATGCTGTGAAGTACAAACACGAACACACACACACACACACACACACACACACACACACACACACACACACACACACACACAGCTGGTTACCTTCAGGTCTCTCCTCTCTAGGTGCAGCAGCTCTGGTCCACCCACATCATGCCTTATGAAGATCTCCTTATACTCTTACACTTTTGTGATTTTTGAATGTCTTTGGTGTTGTTGGCCGTTGATTCTATTGCTTGTTGTATGCTGTCTTTGTTGTATGCTGTCATTATTTACACCACAGACCAACCTGTCTCACAGCATGTCTTCTGAAACATCTCCAAAGCCACCATAGTCTGAGCTGCCTCAGCTTGGCTACAGACACTCCTGCTTTGCGAGAGCGACTGTGGACTTTGAAACTTCCCCAAACACCATAGGGTGATGCACTGCAAGAGAGAACAATGTCTTTGTCAGGGTCAAAGTGCACTAGTAATGGAGATGAATGCGCAGCTCCTTTACCTGCCAAAATGCCTTTTCTTGGGCTGCCTGCCACTTTGTGAAGCAGCTGATAGAGGGGTGCCAGTACTGTGGAGAGATCCAGATAAACACACAAACGCTGTTTCCTTTTTTTCGAACGGCGACTTTCAATGGTTTCAAGTTAAGCCAAGTTAAGTTAAGTTTTACACTCGTTGCCAAATATGTTGCAGGTAAACCAATGCATGAAAGCTTGTACTTTAACTAGATCTTTTACTTAGCAATATTGATACGCTTAACTTGATACACTTAACACCATACATGCAAAAGAGACCATCGTGTGTACGCCCATCAGCACTCAGGTCGTAAACATCCAACCCAACAAAGGTTCCCGGATACATTTACAGCATACATTAAACATAGTACACTCTCATGAGCATACTCTGAAGTTCCTACGTTACCGCTGATCAAGCTAACCAAATGGGTCGTGCAAACAGGCATGCACTGTTTTACATCAGGGTGAGATAAAACAATGCTTGGTTAGAGATTCCCCTTCTGAAGAACGTTAGAATACAAGACACGCAACACAAGACATGGTGGCCGGGGCTGTCTCCTCCTGGAGGTGCTCTACATCCTAGGAGGTGAGATTAGAACGATCAGTAAACAGGAAGGTGACCTTTTGTCAAAGCCATCAGGCTCTGATGTGTGTGTGTGTGTGTGTGTGTATCACATACAGCAGCATATAAGGTTATATTCCAGAAATGCAATTTCCTGGACCAGGTAGTTACGTGAAACCTAGTTATGGCTTTTAGTTTTGGTTTTTATTCACTTTAGCATTCAAATAGGTCAGATTTAACTAAAG